TTCGGAGGCAAAGAACTTGACCAGCACAGCTGGAGACGAATCTCTAAATGCAGACCAACATACAGTATCTACTACTGTATTTATGGAAATGGGGGTATACCGTAGGTATGCTACAACTGCAATATCAATCAACATTTTCTGATGCCTTGACCTTGATCCGTGTCATTATCTTTATCCTTTCCTCAATCACCCCCTCTTTACTCTTACCTCCACTCTCTGTAACCTCTTGCGTGCTAGTTGCACACCCGCCTTGCTTGGGGTGAAATGCTTAAAACAAAACAAAAAAATAATAAGTATGAATGCAGGTCATTAGTTAAAGAAGTAAGAGGGTACAAACAAAAAGAATTAAAATTGACAAATTTCACTGGAGCAGATGTTAAACACATCAGTATTAACGCCTTCGATTAGCACTTCGACGTGGTATTATGTTTAGCAAGTTTGTTGACTTCTCTGGGTGGTCCATAATTTCGGCCTTGTGCCATATCTAAGTTACACTTAGAAAATCCCTATTATCGCCTTCGCTGTCTTTCTCCTTTTATTTCTTTTGCTCATTGAAATCAAACAGCGTCTATGATAAGTCTTTTCCATTTCCCCCCCGTAATCAAAACAGAAATATTCCATTATTTATGAGGTAGGAACTAAGGAAGAAGTAGTATTATAAATTGTTAGTAGGAACGCAATCTGTAAATTCTGGACGTTAGGTCAACGTTGATAAAATTAAACGTCCTCAAATGAAACAAAAACTGAATCTGTGAAGAACGAACTTACGTCAGTGTAGATGAGGTTAGCTGTCCTTAAATGTGATAAAAACTAAGCCTTTATTGACTTTAGCTAAATGTTGGTAGGTTATTTGTCCTTAAGTGGAATTTCACAGATTCTATACGATATGAACTCAATATCAATATTGGTTAAATTCTTAGTCTTTAACAGCAACAAATATGAAACTTAATAGTTCAGAATTCTACAACACACATGTAGTGGCGGTGAGAGTGGGAGTGGGGGGCAGTCAACCGGCACAAATGTGCTGGACCTCGAAACCCGAGGGGCCTCAAGCAAATACCTTTAGAGGTTTAGGGGTCTTCTTTACAAAAATTAGAGAGCAAAAACTAATCGGTATTTTATTGAAAAAAATACGAAGACTAAAACCAGTCCCAAAACAGCTAAAAAGTGCATTTTTCGAACTTTCACTGAAGCAAAATACGCGATGAGTTCCTCAAAATCTAATTCTTGTGCCAAATCACACTCGATCGCAAAGGTTTCTAAGTAAGACACGCTCTTTAAAAAGTTTTGTAAGACACGCTAGATTGAGTTTGTTTGTCCCACCATCTTTTCCGACCGAGTGGGAGAGTGGGGGCTCAAAATAATCTAAATGCCGGACCTCGAAAATTCTCTCCCCGGTACTGAACACATGTATATCTAGTGTTGCGTATCTTATCTGATGCGCAGAGGCATCCATTCTACAGTTTTGTTAAAATCAATATGAACAACTATAGTAGCTCAGTTTCTGCTTTGCGGCCCGAAGGCAAAGACATGTTTACTTTATGGCGCCATTTTTAAAAATATTCAAACTAGTAATGAACATATTAAGACTGGAAGTAAAATATAGTATCCTTGCTTTTATAATCACTAGATGACAATTAATATAATTTGCCTAGTGGCATTTCTTGCGAATACCAGGGACAAGTGCACAAATATAGTTAAAAGCTAGGATTTTGTAAGCTGATTTTCAAAACAAGCAGGCCCAACCCACTTTTGATGACAGGCGTAACACAGTCTTCCTTATTTCCTCTCTCCTCGCTTTGTGCGGCACTATGCTAAGCCAAATGTAGCATAGATCACTCAAGTATAAGTAAAATATATGTTTCACGATATTTACTAAACTTAGGCCATTCATGTGAGAAGACTGTTTTGTACCAATCAGTGAAGTCAGGGTGCCTGCTTTGAAAATCAGCAAAGTCCTGACCTTTTAGAAGGGTTTAAAATATCTTCCACTGTCGCCGCAGCAAAATAGGCAGTTAATTCAGCCAACAAATGTTCAAAATTCCATGTCATTTCTACTGTTTAAATAAAAGAAAGATGTTTGGCAATTCAGAAATTCCCTGTACCCGACTCCTCCTGCTATCCTTTAACTTTACAAGAGCCAGATCAGGGCCTAAAATAGAGCACTGCCTTCATATTTGGACAGGAGCCCAGTCTTCACTTTCCAGTATCGATAAAGTCCAAACGTGTCTCTGCGTCCTTGTGGGTGACAAGTTATTTTACATCCTGCAACCCTTCTCTCACCGACAAAATGTCGCAAGCCTCTCACTGTTCTATCGCTATTTCCATGGAAATTGTTCAGGCAAACTACATTCGTTAGTTCCACCAGTTTTAACCTTCACGCCTAGGACCCACCATGCCACGTACATTGTAGCGAACCACCCTCATCCTCTTCGTATTCCATTGGGGAGATGTAAGACCCACTCGAACAGCTTCTTCCCATGAACCACTGCTCTTTGGAACCAATTCGCAAGAGGATGCTTTCCCGATCACTACAATTTTAACCTATTCATGTCTAGGGTTAACCGTTATCTTCCCCACATATCTGCATAAACTGTACCTCTTACTCTGTAATTCTCTAACTAGAGTACTACAGCTACATCCTAAAAGTGAATAATCTACCCATATGCTATGCATGTAAGTGTATTTACTTGACCCCCACCCACTGAGTCAGGTTGTGACACAAGGTCAGTTTTTAACGTGGGGACCCGAGTGTTTTCACTCGGACCGCTGGTCTGAGCTGGTCTTAGCTTGTCCAAGCTGGTCAGAGCTAGTTTTGGTTTGTCATAGCTGGTCCAGGCAGGAGCCGGTCCAAGCTAGTCGTAGCCGTGATACCACCAGCAACAAGGCCGGAGCACAAGTGCCAGGTAGATATTTACTTGACCCCCCCCCCCCAGTGAGTCAGGTTGTGACACAAGGTCAGTTCTTTACGTGGGGACCCGAGTGTTTTCACTCGGGCCGCTGGTCTAAGCTAGTCATAGCTGGTCATACCTTGTCCAAAGTGGTCAGAGCTGGTCTAGGCTAGTCATAGGTGGTCTTGGCTTGTCATAGCTGGACCAGGCCGGAGCCGGTCCAAGCTAGTCGTAGCCGTGATACTACCAGCAACAGGACCGGAGTACAAGTGTCAGGTAAGTATCAATGCTATGCATGTAATGAACGATATACAGTAGAACACATACTTATAAAATGTAAAGATTAAAGTCTGGTCCATTATTATCATACAAACAATATGAATGAATGAACTCTCACCAGGATTGATCCAAATAAAATAATTAAATTACTTAAGGAAAATAAGACATATTAAAGAAAAAAAAGCAATAACTAATATCAATAATTAAATGAACAAAATAAAATAATCTCCAACTGAACTTCATACCAAAATCATTAAATTTTAAATGAACTCCTTTACAAAGACTATCGCTTTTTATTAAATTATATTAAAATATCATTCGCAAATTAAATTTCATACACAAACCGTGATGCCCAAACAAATCTTATTAGGCATGAAATGGCCGAACGAAGGTTGATATGCCTTTAAACCCAAAATTCAATCAATCAATCAACTGTGAGGAGATTATCCAGCATTCACTGCCATATTTGTGGACCGATATGGCAGGACACTTTTTCTTATTTCTAACAAAATGTTACTGTTATATATGTCTGTTTTGTTTTCATTTTCTCTAAAACTTCGTATTAGCTCATGTTCAGTCCATAATATTCTTAGCATTCTTTTGTATAACGTCATTTGCTTACCTCAAATCCCTTCTTCGACTGTGGCGTAGAAAAGAGGAATTAGCACTAGCTCGACTCCGACAGCCACATTTCTATTACCTACAGCTACATACTATAATGGAAGATCCACCTATGAACGATATACAGTTGAACACACTTATAAAATGTATAGATTTAAGTCTAATACGTGAAAAGTATTATCAAGCAAATAATATGAATGAACTCTTTAACAGGATAGATCCAAATAGAATTATTTTCTTTCTTAAGGAAACCAAGATATATTCGAAAATTTAAGCAATAATTAATCTTGACAAATAAGTAAATGAATAAAATAAAATAACTCCAACTTCATACCAAAATCATTAACTTTAAATGAACTCCTTTACAAAGGCTATCGCTTTCAAATGTAAGATACTAAAATATAATTCAGAAATTAAATTTCAGACACAAACCATGATGCCCAATCAAATCTTATTAGATATGGAAATGATCCAATGAAGGTTGATATGCCTTTAAATCCAACAATCAAATGAACCTGTCTGTAAAAAAAAAAGAAATGGAGGAAGATGATGATATTTCCCCATGTTGAAGTTCAACAAACCCAATTTCAAACACTAAATCTCTTTATTGTATATATAGATTATAATCTGTCTATATTTCTGAGATGACGTATTATGTACATTATTTACATTATTCGGACTATTGTCCTCTTCTTTGTCGCCATATTTATCACAACGTTTCGGCCGTTGTACGCTCGTCAGGTGAAGAAGGCCGGAGCGTACAATGGCCGAAACGTTGTGATAAATATGGCGACAAAGAAGAGGACAATAGTCCGAATAATGTAAATAATAGATTATAATATTTAGACAGCGAGTGTTTCTTTCTTGGTTGATCCTTTTGAACGAATTCAGTGAATAATCTGTCATGTCACCAAAATGTGCTAGGGTTGGAAAAGATTAATAATGTATTTGGAGATTTTGAGGGTACAGGTTTGCAGCTCGTCTCGTCATAACTGGTCACCTTCCTTGTTTCTCTGTTACTAGAGGTATTTTCCAGTGCGCCTATGTCACTACCGAATGTGACACATAATCGACATTTCTCTGTTACTAGAATCAAAACGGTAAAGTACATCTGGCTAGCTCCCTATTTGCATGTCAATAAAACAGGGTCCACCAGAATTATAACTTACAATTAGAAAAACAATTGTAAATAATTTTATTTTTAGAGGCTTACGGCCAGATTACGTAGAAAAACTGGTTCCTGTACGATCACCGAGGTTAAGCAACCTTGAGATTAGTCAGTACCTAGATGGGTGACCGCTTGAGAATACCAGGTGATGTAAGCTTGTATGTGTGATTGGTGTAATGAATAATTGTTAATCGCTGAGCCGAGTTCCAATTCCAGTTGAGTTCATTATATTCACTTACGCGCAAATACCTTTTGGGCAAAGTATGAGTACACCACTTCTCCCCCTCTAGCTATGGGTAAGACTTGTATCACTAAACCATTATCTCAAAAAATGTTACAATCTGAAAATATTTTCTGGCTTTAAATAACCCGCAAAGGGTTGATAAGCTGTAACAAATGAATCAATCAATATTTTTGGAAATTCTACGATCAATATAAATTTTGTTTTTCTCAGATATGGTACAGTTGGCGACATTGACAGTATTAAATCGTGGATACATGAAAGGATAGTATTTTTTAACTTAAGAATTCCTTGAACTAAATTCTTTATATATTACCAGTTGTAACACGTAGCTACTCCCCTATAGCCAGTTGTCGGAGAAGTGAATTATTTCATATCTGAACTATTAATCTTGATATACATTAAAAAGGCTCCCTTTCACCTATCTTCCGATTGGCCAATCAGTATGAGCATTAACCAATCAAACAATATTTAGGTGATGTTTCGCTATCTTCTCCGCATCCAGCCTTTGATCAGATCTTCAAAGATTATGATTTTTTTTATTCATTTTTCATTACATGTTATGATGTAATTCAAAAATTGATATTTTTTGCCGAGAAACAAAACTAAGACAACTGTATACCTATTTTTTCTTTCTTTTTTCAATTCAAATGGAAATCATTTATTGATATTTCTAAAATCATTTTAAAATCTTTTCAGCCGATACATCATAAATTCTTTCACAAAGATGTTTAGATTATTTAAAATATCAGTTATCATTATAAAATTTAGGTATACCGCAAAAAGAAACAATCTATAAACCAGCACGCCGTGTAAGATGTTGAGGAAACAGCAATCCAAAGACAACGATTACAGAGAAAACGTTAAAAACCAGAACTGTGTACAGATACTTCAAATAACATTTTTTACAATATGGCGAGAAAAAATTTTAAAATGTCCACAATTTATTAACGACATTTACGTGTTTCGGAATCAAATACTGGCAGAGGTTAAAGCATACAAATTGACACGATAAATTTTTTGCAAAAATATTCAAAATATTTAGAAACACTTTTATTTTTTATTTTATTTTACTTTATTTATTTATTTATTTATTCATTTTACTATCTAACACTTTTTCGAGAAATGCATAGAAAAACTCACGTCTTGCTACTTTTTCTAAATTTTGATTCCTTCTGACATACTTAAAACAAATCACAACTATCAATTACATTCATTTTTGTCTTGAAGATGATCTCGGATGAGACTGGAAGTACTTGGGAAATTAAAAGAAATGAAAAAAAAACTACGGCGTCTTCCTTAATGAATTTAATATCAACATTAAGAAGTCGATCAGAGAATTCTAAAGGATTAAAAATAAAATAAATAGACATGATATGTCCAGATTACTCAACCAAACATGCTTGAATATATACACACACACACACACATATATATATATATATATATATATATATATATATATATATATATATTATTATTATTATTATTATTATTATTATTATTATTATTATAAGCGTTATTATTTTAATAGATATATTTTAAATTAAGAATTATATTTATAATCGTTCTTTTAAAAATTGTGAAGAAACTAACATTTTACTTCTATACTTGTTGCAAAGTAAAACTTTATATTTACCTTGATAAAATCAATCAAGGGATGAAATGCGTAGGATAACATAAGTTTTTCTTTTATCTTTATATATATATATATATATATATATATATATATATATATATATATAAAACATTGTGCGCAGCTGTAACATTATCAGTATTAACATTTCAACTCATAGTTTTAGGGATGATGAGAGATAAAAAACGTGAAATATATATATATATATGCAAACAGGCGGTTTCATATCTGTCGGAAGGGTCAAGCTAAAATCTGATTGGTTAAAAATCAGGTTGACTCGTTGTTACTTGTTCGTTACAAACGCATGTAAGGAGATTATGAGATTGGCACATATACTTCAATCACACCGGTTTACCTGAGAAGCAGCTCAAAATTATCTTCGGCACTGTCATTATTGCTGTCGGTATTATTAAGGTTTGCAGACGGCTTCATGTTGCGCCTGGCCGCTTGATAACCCTACACTTCAGCCACTATACACGACTGCAAGCTCGTCTTTAGACTAAGTGAAAACTAAGTACATACTTTAGCTTATTGAATAGACAACGCCTTACCAGCAAATGTTAATGTTATTGTTGTTTAGTCATTAAATAAACACTCGTAAACTATATAGGATATTTCAGTATAGAAAATATCTTTCGGCCATCTTGAATGCATACGTTATTTTCTCATTTGAAATCCTCGGTCATCTTGAAAGCAGATGTTATTTTGCTCATTTTCAGTCATCGGCCATCTTGAATGCATACGTTATTTTGTTCATTTTGAATGCATACGTTATTTTACTCATTTTAAGTCCAGTGCCATTTTGGATGTAAACGTTTTGCTCATTTTCAGTACAAGGCCATCTTGAATGCATACGTTATTTTGCTGTTTTCAATCCTCTGCCATTTTGAATCTAAACGTTATTTTGCACAATTTCAACACTCAGCCAGTTTGAATATAAACGTCATTTTTTCTAATTTTCAGTCCTAGGCTATCTGGAATGCATACGTTGTATTGCTCATTTTCAATCTCCAGTTGAGTGTAAATGTTATTTTTTCATTTTCAAATCCTCTGGCATTTTGAAAGCAGACGTTATTTTGCTAATTTTCAGTCACTGGTCATCTTGTTATCTTTTAGTATTTATATTGGTTCACAATGTTTGTCTAATCCTTAGAATGTGATACAGGGTGTAATAATGTTTAGCGTGATGAAAACATCACTTGCAAGTGTCATAGCGCGAAGAATCACACGCATTCTTTTTTTTTTTCTTTCTTTTTTTATAAGAGCGGCTTTAGAGGGTCGGATTGTTAGTCTTAGAGAGGTTACTTCGCAGAATTGATGCCTACATTGGACAGGATATGCCGGTAGTGCTGTGATATTGGCAACAGTTGTCAAGCTAACACTTCTAAGCTTCTAGATGGCCACGTACTACAGAAACTCGCCAAGACACGCTAACCTCACGACATCCACAGATCAGATCAGAGTAAATATGAGCCGCAGTGAGAACACAGGCCGTTCTGGATCGTTTACTTCCAGCAGGAGAGCGATTACACCTACCGCTAACAAGAGTTTCACTTTCGCCACCATAGCCTCGTGTGCATCTGCAGTTGTGTCTTGAAATGGTTGGCAATTTGTTTCACAAGTGGCATGCTTAAAAAGAAGCATGTAAGAAACAATCAAAAATTTAGAAAACATGGCATTTTTCTATGCATTTCCTGCTATATAATTCTTGAATGTAGACTGTTGTGTCGGAAACCTACCACCCCTCTGGAAGATGAACTTGTCTGCGTCTGTGAACAAAGACTTTAAATAATGGCATGTCAGTTGACATGGGGAAGACAGATAGACAGAGAAGTTCTTAGCTGAGCTAGTTATTGACTACTCAGGCGATTTCTGTACCTTTTTACCAACCTATTAAAACCCTTTTTATTGTTACGTGTTATTTGGCGTTTGTCTCTACTAACCCCAAATCAACATCATAACACAGACGCAGATGTGATTTTGTTTTATGCGTTTCCAACTATATAAACAGTTTAGAAAAAAAGAACTAAAAGTAATTTCAAATATTTTGAAACTATCAGCTAAGAACTTGAATGTAAAACTTCACCTGATTCGTTGATCATTTATTGAATAAATTTTTTTATTTCATTGTTTGAAGACGATTTGTCCATTTTATATGACCCAAGAGATATATTTTTTGATTCTGGATCAGCTCGGGGAGGTGGAGGAATGGAATGTTCTTTTTGCGAGTCCCTACATGTCTCGTCTCCTTGTCAATTCATCAGAGCGACCTCTTCACATCGTCTATATATTCCTATATATAACTTCTGCACGCCTGAGGCATGTATTGAACTCGTGACCTTAATTTAAACAAAATATGTTCAAAATTTAGTAAAGAACTTTTTTTCCAAATTAGATTCCCAAACTGTACTTTTGTGGATTTTTTAATTTGTAAAACTCTACCAGTTATTGGGACAACATTTAATAGGATTAAATAGTTTCGCCTACCGCCCGGTTCACACTCCATATTGTTGATGCGCTAGTTGACGCGTAGAAAGCGGACAATGGCGATAAAATGACCTCTTAAGCTTACAGCAAATTTGTAAACACCCAATCTTCAAATATGATTCAAGAAGAAATGACATTCAAACAAAAAGTTGTTTTCATGCATGACAATTCTCCGATTCATGATACAACAGGAATAGATAGGTTCGCCTGTCGTCCGTTTCACACACTTCCTCTGTCTTTTGAACAGGAGTATAGGTTTAGCCCTGATTTCCTGTTTAAGAATCGGTTTCCGGTTCCTTCTAAAGTCTTTTCATTCTCTTTCATTCCCACTAGCCCCTTGCGTCTTAGTGGCATTATCACCTTTCTCGGGGTGAAGTGATTAAAAATATGCAGTCTACGAAATGTGTAATCGTGGAAACAAAACCGTTTTATTTCTGTCTGAATTTCTATGATGATTAGTTATCATTATTTACATTATTTACACGCGGTCTTCTCTTCCCGTGTTTGTTATTACCTCAACGTTTCAGACGTTGTGCCCATCGGCCTTCATCAGGTGTTTTTCGATCCGTATAATCTTCAGGGAATTTCGAGTTGAACCCTTTATTTAATCTAAATGGGTAGATTGTTCTCCTGCCACTGAAACGGGCCAAGCAATAACTGAGCAGTATTAAACTAAGTATTAGACGAGATATCCTTAGTCATGGTCAGCGTAACAAGAATATTCTATCCCAGTAGATTGAATAAAAGGTTCAGTTCGAAATTCCTAGAATGTTACTAGGACCGACAAGCTC